TTATAAGACGGCAGAAGCCTTAAACCGGACAAGATAAGAAGCATTTCCTCTTTGCTAGCCAAACACTATGGTGCAGAATGGGAAAACGATGAACGTCTGGAGTTCTTCAAAAACGCCTTTCAAGACAATCCAGCCAACACTTCGGAAACTCAGCTGGATGTGAATGACACACTAGTGTTTTCTGATAATGAAGAAGATACTGACTTACGAATTTAAATTTGTACCTAAGAAACTAATTTTGTACTTTTTTTCAATAAAATCAGCTTCTTTAAAATCTCTTTTATCGCAATTCCAAATTTTATTAGTGCAGATACTGCTAGTCTTTTTACAGAAACGCCAAATCCAGAACTTTGCAGTTCACGAAGCAGAGATTTCCAAGCCTTAGATGCAAAACAAGACATTCTCATTTTTTTTATCAAAATAACTTTTTTACTATAAGCCTGACTTGCGCTTTAAAGCACATACAGACGTGTCAATGTATTATCTACTTTTGGTGAAAATACCAAGTGGATTGAGCGACTTAAACGACGATGAGAGGTTTTTCGCGCTTTACTCAAAATTATTCGAATGTCAAATGTCTGGTTTTGCATTTATACGCTTCAATTTATTGTCCTCTACATGTCCCTGCTTTGTGTCGGTTCTTATGTGAATCACCCTGTATATTAGCAAATTGTAAAAAGTTGTTCCTGTACTTTATTTGACCATTCACCCCGAATAGATCGTTTTAAATTTGCCTCCCACGGTTATCGGTCGAAGATACTTCTTGCCGAATGTTTAAATAGATACACAGTTAATATGTTGTATGTCTTTATTATTATGTGGTTTAATATTAAGTGATGGAAATATAAAAAGTTTCGATTGAGTTTCTAATATGGTTTTCTTTCTTTTTTTTTAAATGTCACTTTGAGTAAAATCTTATAAACGAGACAAGTACTCAAAGACGATTTAACTCAATAAATGGAAAATTGAAGCTTGTGTAAGAAGTCGGAAAGGTCGGGGGCACGGTCTCGGAGTGGGGCGCGTCGCGTCGCGGCGGGAGGACGAAGAGCGGCGGGAGAGGGTCCGGGAGAGCCGCATACGTAAATATTAAAACCGGGGCAATAAATCGTGCGTAATTTCGCGTTTGCCATCGGGATAATGAGCGCGACCTGGCGGGCAATTACGTGTACGCGACGGACGGGTCGGACGACGGCCGCCGAAGACGCCGCCCGGGGCCTTCTTCTTCTTCTTCTTGGAGGGGGATTCCGAGAGCGAAGCGCCCTTCGCCAGCCTCTCTCGGTCTCGGTCCTGGCCCCGGACGCGTATTAAAATTCCGTCCCGCGGTGATGTCATTAAATAATAAATACCGCGATGTTTACGGTTTACGACGCGAAATCGGAAACGACCGATTCCTTATTCCACCTTCTCCTCCTCCTCCTCGTCATCATCCTTTACTTATGTGACCGCTTTATTAATTTTTAGAATTGATGATTTGAGCCAATTAAATTTTTCTTTCTAATTCCTACGTAAGATAAAGATCACGAGGTCTTTTGTTCCACCTGTTCTCCTCTCGTGTGACGTCCGTCCGTTTATCTGTCTTTTCGGGGAAGAGCACTGCTCCCTGATAATGAAGAGAGACGCGACGCGGCGCGGCAGACGAAAAAGCGACCAAAAACCCGGCCGTTTATTCGAAATAAAATCTTGATAAGCAATCCGAGTTGTCATCTCCGGCCCGTCGCACACTTGAATAAATTTGACAGACGTTCATAGGAGAGATGAAAAATTACCATGGCAGAAGGCAGCGCCGCAGTCCGACGAAGAAACCCGTTTCCAACCGTAGCCTACTCGAGATCCCCCCTTTCGCCCCCATTTGAACCGCGTCGTTCGCCGTTCCACCTTACACGATCTCAATCACAAAAGGATTTATCGATAAAGGTTCGTGTTCGGGTTGTTTATTGCTGGAGGAAGGAATGAAGACTATCTCTGCATGAAGATCTCGCTGACCTAGTACCTATAATGCGTTCAATTACAAATTTAACACGAACGTTTTACCAATGGAAATAAGATAGCATAGAATACCACCATATTGCTGTTTGTTTATCAAATCAACAATTCATAGCATCAGTTATTAAATTCCATTTGACTTTCTCCTCTATAACAGTAACAATCTTTACCGCAACCGTTTTAATCGGTAACATAAAACAAATTGCAACCTTATTGAGTCCTAGAAACCAAACAATTTATCACGTGGCGACATTTTTTAAAACCCTCTGATGAAGAACAGTTACGTTCGTTCGCTCATCGCCTTTCCAGTCTATAAAGAAAACCACTACAATAGATATTAATAAAATAATGTTTTATTGATCAAAAATTGGAAATAAAACGTCTATATTACAATTAAAAATAAAACTTAAAACGCTAAAGAAAAAAATGTGATCAAAACGTGAGGCCCGCTTCGTTGATTGTATGAAAAATTTTTTCGATGGCTGCAACGTAAGCGGCGGTTCTAAAATCCGTTCCCAGGTTGAATTCTTTCGCTGTGTTTGTTAACTCTCTCGCTGCCCGTTCCATGGTCCAAGCTAATCCCGATACAACAATGTCTCTCTCGGACGCCCCCGCAATCCTCGTCTTGAAGGACTCGCTGGGAACGATGGGAATCCTCTTCGTTCCGTCTTGTCCAAAGTGCCTCTCCAGAGATTCTTGTACCGAACTCAACAACAGATAATTTGAATCTCTTTCGTATTTAAACGTCAATCTTCCGAAAGAGGTGTGATTTAGGTTCTTTAGCCATTCAAAATAAGACACTGTCACACCTCCCGCGTTACAAAATAAGTCCGGCAAAATAAGAATATTTTTTGATAAAAGAACCTTATCTCCGGCGGGAGTAATTGGCCCGTTTGCCCCTTCTGCCACTATTTTTGCTTTAACTTCTTGTGCGACCTCTTTGTTAATTAATTTTTCGCCGGCCGCTGGTATCAAAATGTCGCACGGTTCGCAAATTAAATTCTTTCCTCTGTAAGGTTGTGCACCAGGAAAACCAACGATTGATCCTTTTGTTAATTTATAGTTGTGAAGATCTAAACAATTTATACCTTGCGGGGAAATTATACTACCATCCACTTCCATAATACCAATACATTTTGCACCAGCTCCAGTCAAATATCTACATAACAACAATTATTTCATTATTAAATAAACTGGTACATCTTTCTGAAAATTAGTCGAACTATATTATTTGAGCTAGGGACAGCAGATAACTTTTAGAAACTATACTAAAAAGTATTCAGATTCCAAAACAAGATTACGTGGAAAGGATTCTCGGTCGATAGATATTCTTGGGAATCGACCAATACAAGGGAATTTGTTTTAATTCACTACGCTTTACGAACAAAATTGATTCCTTCTTCATTCCTTCTTAAAACTATTCAATCAAAACCAACAATACTTACAAGTGGAAGTATAAAAAGCCATGTACATAATAACGCAATACCCAGTTAATACTTCAATTACTTAAAAAATATTTTCCACCAAACAAGTACATTATTAAAGTTATAAAAATTAAACAAAGAATAACGTTAAATTACAGTTACATATTACAATTAAAATTGACCGCAAACGATCAAACTATATAATTCGGCACGAGCCACGTTAAAAGTTGAAAAACAAGATTTAGATGTAAGAACCAAAGGAACAGGGAAGGGAAAAAAACGAATAGAACGTAGGCTTGTGGATATTTTACCTTTACCCCTGTTAAACGATTTCAACCAAAGATTAAACTTCTCATACACAAGAATTTTTAACAATACAATGAAATTAAATATAAAGAAGTTTAAGAAGGTGCAAGAACGGTTTAACTTCAACAATGTATGTAAAAATAATGACGGGCGGTTTATTAATAGAAGTAATGTTGAAGTTCCCGAAATTGCCAAGAATTTTTTGTCTTTGGATATAAAATTTATTTTGATACCTGATACGACTTCGATTTCGGATCCCAAATTGTTTGCAGAGGTTAAACCAGTTATTAAGCTGGTCCCTAAATGCGAGCAAAATGAAAAGAGGGGAAAAAAGTTGCACTAATGTTATCACTAATTTAAAAAAATAAGTAATAATAAAAAAGGCATTTTTATATTTATAGGAATTTTATCTATAATTGTAAAAATATCAAAAAGCCAATCAAGTTAAAAAATTAAAAAAAAAAACGAATACTAGAGTTATCTCAGGAGTTGTTACTGTATGACCAATTATTAGTAACTAGGAAGACATATACAGAACATAAATTTTCAGTATCCATTCTAAAATTCACCGATCCAACTCCCCTATTAATATATACCATTTCTAGAAAGAGTGTTATTGTAATTCAATTTATTTTCCAAGATAGAAATATTGTCAAAATCAAAGTGATGCCCTTCCTTAACATGATGCGCAACTAAAGCACTCTTTCTTTCCTGGTGTGCTTGAAAATCTCTCTTATGTTGATTGGTACGGCTAGATAAGTATTGAGAAGTAGTGCCTATAATATGAACCATCGCAATTGCTGCATAGGATTTTAGAGATAACATTTGACTTAGATAACATCGGTACAAGTTCTTTAGCTCTTGAGAATAAACAGGAAAGAAGTAAATAATGGGTGTTAGAAAACCTTTGAGTTATAGACAGTATTATGCACATTAGAGAATTCAGTTGTTTAGTGAAACTGGGTATCTACCAGGGATTTTTATATATCTTGTGATCTGAGTTGGGTTAACTATATATTGTGGGGCTGTCATGTCAATAATATTTGTCTTACTACTATTGTGATTAAGATACCACCAAAAAGACAAGGTGGAAAGCCATTATTAATGAAAATGCTAAACAACCTTCTTTTATCCCAAAAATCAGGGTTGATAATTAATTTAATTCTATCCCGCATGGCAACAATAGTATTAATCTTTTGATTAATAGGATGATTGGAGTAAAAATTTATGAATCTACCCGAGTATGTGGATTTACTGTAGCAATCGAAGGTAATAGTCTGGTCATCATTTCTAATAACCTTGGTGTCCAAAAAGGTACATATGAGTTAACTTCGGTCAGATAAATGTAGATGAAAACCATTAAACACATCAAGAACACTGTCGATCTGGTCTGAGAGAACCGCTCAGTTAATATCATCTACATACTTATGATCCAAAAGATGATCCATAACCATAGTAGTTAAAATGGGATTGAGAGGTCTACCCATTGGAGTAATTTACCAAATTTCTGCCTGTAATTCTTTTTATCAATAATAAAATGAGATGATTCAAACAACAACGATATCGATTCGAAGTTCTTTTACTGAAGGCCTGACTTAAAATTTCTTCTGATTCTTATAAGTGTTTTTGTCAATGTAGGTACCCCCTTTCAAGCAGTAACTTTGAGAATTTATGATCTATTCTGGCGGAGGTAGGATCCTTACTTAAAACTGTATATGTGGACTGACCACCAAATAAATTAATAGATTTTTGTATGTACTGATTCATTCATACAAAGGGTAACTTGACCCTTATCAGCTTTTAAAATAAGGAGAGGGTCATCTTTATCCTTCCTCAGAAATACTTTAGTTGACAAAAATGCCTTTTTTATTATTACTTATTTTTTTAAATTAGTGATAACATTAGTGCAACTTTTTTCCCCTCCTTTCATTTTGCTCGCATTTAGGGACCAGCTTAATAACTGGTTTAACCTCTGCAAATAATTTGGGAACCGAAATCGAAGTCGTATCAGGTATCAAACCAAATTTTAGACCCAAAGACAAAAAATTCTTTGCAATTTCGGGAACTTCAACACTACTTCTATTAATAAACCACCCGTCATTATTTTTACATACATTGTTGAAGATAAACCGTTCTTGCAGCTTCTTAAACTTCTTTATATTTAATTTCTTTGTATTGTTAAAAATTCTTGTGTATGAGAAGTTTAATCTTTGGTCGAAATCGTTTAACGTGGTATTCGTTTTTTTCCCTTCCCTGTTCCTTTGGTTCTTACATCTAAATCTTGTTTTTCAACTTTTAACGTGTCTCGTGCCGAATTATATAGTTTAGTCGTTTACGGTCAATTTTAATTTGTAATTTAACGTTATTCTTTGTTTAATTTTTATAACTTTAATAATGTACCTACTTGTTTAGTAGGAAATTTTGAGTAATTGAAATCTTAAAGTTAAAGGCTTTTTATGCTTCCATTTGTAAGTATTTTCGTTTTTTTTATTTAAATTGTAAGTTTTGGCCTTGTTTGTTTAGATTGAATAGTTTTTCCCTGAAGAAGGTATAAATTTTGCTCCAAAAGCTTGGTTAAAAGAAAAAAGACAACTTTTGTTATAATTCCCTTGTATTGGTCGATTCCCAAGAATATCTACATTTCCAAAACAAGTATGTTCTGAGCTATCAAATCTGAAACTTTATATTTAATCAGAAAACATTTTTGTATTTTTTTAGGTTATAAAAATTCATAATTACTATAAAAATTGAATTAGAATCATGAAACTTTTGAAACTTACAGTAAAAGTGTGCAGATGCCGATAAAACATACGATATTTATTAAAATTAAAATTACAAAGTTGCAAGTAACCAAATTGAAAAGTCTTCAAAAGTATGCTGTTTGAGCAAGGATAGGTAGTTAACTTTTTAGAAACCCCACTTGGAAACACCAAATTTTTAGAAACAATGTTAAAAAATATGCTTATTCCAAAACAAGAAGCAAAATTATTATCAAAATTGAGATGAGTATGTTCTGAGCTATCAAATCTAAAACTTCATGAAATAACGAAAATTTGATGCTTTTTAGGTTATAAAAATTCATAACTACTTTAAGAATTAATTTAGAACCATGAAATTTTTGAAACTAACAGTAAAATGAGCGTAGATTTCGATAAGATTTGCGATATCTTTATTAAAATTAAAAACTTGCAAGTAGCCATATTGAAAACTCCTCCAAATATGTTATCTGAGTTAGGAAAAGTAGATAGCTTTTTATAAAATCCAGTTGGAAATAGAAAACTTTTCGAAACTATATTAAAAAGTATGCAGATTCCAAAACAAAATGCGAAATTATTATCAAAAGTGAGATGAGCATGTTTTGCGCGATTAAATCTAAAACTTTATAGACACCAAAAATTTACGTTTGCTAGGTTATAAAACTTCATAACAATTTTAAAAATTAGTTTGGAATCATGAAATTGTTAGAACTTACAGAAAACAGAGCGCAAATTGCGAGAAAATATGCGATATCTTTATTAATATTAAAATTAAAAAGTTGCGGGTAGCCAAATTAAAAACTACTCATAAATATCTGAGGTAGATAACTTTTAAAAAAATCCTTTTAGTAATACAAAATTTTTAAAAATTATATTAAAAAATACAAAAACCATCAGGAAGTAAAACGATTTGAGTTGAAATTAATGAAAATTGGAATGAGGCAAAGACGAGACAAATTTGATAAACCAATTTATATTTATTAACGTTTTGTGGTGAACTAGAAACTAATTGCGCAAAGTGTCAAGGAAACGCCGTTAGTTATGGCTTTAAAGAGGTTAAAATAAAAATTTCATATAGAATTGACGGCAATGTTGGCAAACATCACCATTTCTATTGGTCGCGAAGTTGAGAAGACTTTAACGGTATCAAAACAGTAAAAGATTCAATTACCCGCAACAAAATGAAATTGCTACTCTCTCGAGATGACTACAATAACTGAAACGAACGATCCGGTATCGTCACGGGCCCGCGGAAGAAATTGCACTTTTACTGTGAAAAAATCTTAATTAATCGTTAAGACTCGCCCGACCGCCCATCTCACCTGCTGGTGTGAAGGCCAACGTTCCCGAATCCTTGGATGATGAATGTTTTGTCTTTCCAGCCGACCGAAAGTCCGGCGAGTTTCATAAAATCCTCACTCGTCACTATCTGATCCAAACAATTGAAAATCCCCCTGCCGGGTGCAGAAATCCTTCCGTGAATACCGCCTTGATTTAGTGGTTTTCCAGTACAGCAACCTTGTGCGTTAATATCTCGATACCCGAACGTTTTGTGGTAAGTATCCGCTATCCAAGACATCTCTCTTTCTCCCGTAGAAACGTCTGGAGCTGGCACGTCAATTTCGGGTCCGATAAATCCTTTCCTAGCTAATTCGATCGTGTACCTCCTCGTTATCTTTTCCAATTCGTTTACAGTGAACTTGGCGGGATTAATGCATAGTCCCCCGGTGGATCCGCCGAATGGAACGCCCACCGTCGCGCATTTATAAGTCATAATCGCAGACAATGCGCGTACTTCATCTCTGTTCACACTCAGGCAGTATCTCATCCCGCCTTTAACCGGCATTTTGTGGCATTTATGCATCGCTCTGTATCCCCTGATCATCTCGTACGACCCGTCGTCCTTTTTCACCGGAAAATTTAACTCAAGTACCGCATCGCACATTTCCAAATAAGACATTACATTCCTGACTTTTGCTTTTCTTGCTGACAAATCCATCGGTGGCAACCCTTTTTGATGCTTTAACGATTCGATCAGTTTCTCTTCGACCACCACACGAGCTTTATGAAAATTGTATTGTACCATGTTGTAAAACGTCGGATTCGATTGTTCCGGAATATCTTTCAAAGAATCTGGCATCTTTCCCAATTCCGAATAGAAACGCTTCATTATAAATATAGACGGACGACGGTACATTAGTTGGAAACGCAAAATCGGCAGCGGATTCATCGGGAAAGATTTTTTAGAATAGACAGATGGTTTTAATTGACAAGGGATGGTAAAAAAAACTTGTTGTTGACACAATACGTCCCTACGGTTACATGCCGTCATAATCCTAATCGTGGAGACAATCAATTTTTATCGATTGTTTATTTTAATATGATATACATTCTACATATTCACACCAATATCATACATATTTTTAATTTTTGTTGCAAAAGAAAGGGAACAACATTATCATAAAAAATTACTTAAAAATAATTTTTTTATCTATCTTTTATGACTGTGTATATCATTCCTGCTAACTATCCAATTCCTTTCAACCTAAGTCGTATACTAAGAAAGGGTATTGAGACTAGCCGAAACTTCAATTATTAAACTTCTGAATATCAATCAATGTCGAAAATCAATTCGGCGCACCTCAAGTATTTCTCTGAAAAAGGTTGTTCCCTGATAGAACGGACAAGTTGTGATTACTATCCGAAATAATAAAACCATATTCAGCTAATTGATAATTTTAGTATATCTGATAAAACAGAAATACTGACCCGACTTTGCCACAATGTTGACCACACCATTTACAATAGTTCTTCTTCATAGGTCTTCATTTCGTATGTAGTCCCTCAGAGTTAGACCCAGAATCGACCTCTCCATCTATCTTTGCGCTATTTGGACCCTCCTGGCAGTGGCTACTAGCCATGTGTAACTCAGCAAAATTTGCTGCGCTGACACACTGATACTGGCGCACCTAAGTGAGTTAGCGCAATGTATCAACTCAATTGCGCCATAACGCAGTTGCTGATGCATAGATATGATGCATCAGCAACTGCGATATCATATACGCCGGCGCAGCTAGCCTGATATCTCGTTCCAAGTTCTAGCAAATGCAGGTTTTATACGTGACTAAGGGCTAGAATTTTCACCTACATATCTGTAAATTTTTAATAGCTATTTGACAGATCTGCAAGATTTTTAGCCCTGTTAAACTCCACAAAATGAGAATATGTTACGGTGGCGGTGTACAGGGTGTCCAAATTTCGATGGGTTTGCAGGGTATCTCAGTTATTATGAAAGATAGAAAGTTGCGGTTTTCGTGAACCTGAGCTACTTTTTTGTGAAACTTACAATGCCGCAAACCAAATTTTCATAGACCTCTTCGTTTTTGATATACAGAGAGTATTGCAAAATTTACGATTTTCAGACACCCCCCGTATCTCGGCTATCCGGAAACTTAGTAAAAAAGTAAAAAAGTAAAAACGGGTTCTAATAGATTTTTTCACGTAGAATCCAATGATGCACGTAGAATTTTTCTAGACATTACGGTTTTTGAGTTATAAACACAACTTAGGTTTTTTTTAAATGGAACCACCTATATTTTATTTTTTTATTGAACAAGAATTTTTTCAAGCTTTTCAATGATACATAATACTCTATACTTACCTTTATAATTAACCTCGAAATTAAAAAAACCACATTATTTTATAAGTAGGCTATGATAAATTAAGTGATTGCGTTGCTAGGATACCAGAATAAACAAAGAATTTTGAAAATTCTATAATATTAATTATTGACTTATTAAAAAAATGTATCTATTAAATTTTGTTTGCTAAAAACGAAAAATTATTAAAAACTAAACATTATGCAAATATGGCTTCAAGTTACAAGAATTGTTCAAAGTTGTTACCATTTTGATGCACACATTGTTCACAAAGTTTAGTAATGCGTTGAATTGCATTTAGAATAGTTATGGGATGTTGCTGTAAATGTGAAAAAGCATCAATTACAGCAATTTTCAATTCCAATTTTGTTCGATTCTGGGTACTATATACCCGATTTTTGATATATCCCCATAAAAAGAAGTCCAAAATAGATAAATCAGGTGATCTTGCTGGCCATCGCGTTGGACCATGTGTACCTATCCACCTACCAGGAAATTCTGCAGTTAGGTAGCGACTCACTAACTGCGCATTATGAGCGGGAGCTCCGTCCTGCTGAAAATAAATATTATTTAGCCGAATAAGAGGAACATCATCCAAAATCTCTGGCAAAGCCTCTTGCAAGATGGCCAAATAGCGATTAGCGCAAAGGTTTCCTTCAAATATTTTGTAAACAATTCGTGGCCCAATAATAAAACATGCCACGCTAAAACCAAATTTTCCTTGACGCTCCCGCTCAATTACAATATGTTGGTTTTCTTGATGCCAATACCTGTTATTATGACGATTATAGATTCCTGTGCTGGTAAAATATGCCTCATCAGACCATATAATAGAGGAACTAAATTCAATATTATTTTGTGCATGGTTCAAATACCAGTTACAGAATTCCAAACGTCGTTCGGCATCTCCCGGGTGTAACTGGTGAACTACACATCCTAACACGGTAATTTCATTGTTATTCAGATTTTCTTTATTATATTTTTTTGGCCTTGGCATCAAAAAACTCCCATAATTGATCAAATTACGCTTTATTAGCAAAAAAATTTTTGAATTTGGTTGCGCTCTTTCTGGATATCTGAAGTGAAACAATCTGCTAATAAAATGTTATTGCTGATAAATGTTGCATTCTACCTATTTATGTATAATTCAGCAGCTTGATTAACATTTTCATTTGCATGAATGTAACATGCTAGCATGTCATATTTTTCATANTGAATGGCCAGTAAGATTTCCCGATTATTTCTTATGGGGATATTTAAAAGGTAAAATTTACGTGAACAGGCCACAAAACATACCACAACTAAAGGATCGAATTACGGAAGAAATAGCGCTTATATCACCAGAAACCATTCTAAATGTTTTAAATGAGTTTCCACTCAGAATTGATTTCTGTTTTCGAGACAAGGAAGTCATATTGAAAATTTCCTTTAATGTTTTTTATTTTAGTTTCATTTTGTTGTATTGTGTTAATTCAACTTGTGATAACATGTACTTTGGTTCTGTTTCACTTTTACTGTTGTTTCATGGTAGTCTCATTTGTTGAATGTATAAAAATTGTAAATCGTAATTTCTAAGCAATTACAATTACCAATTTCCATACATTACGAGTACACTGTATGTCGAATTTTTTACATACGAACTGGAATTTTAAATAGATGATTTAAAACGATCTATTCGGGGTGAACGGTCAAATAAAGTACAGGAACAACCTTTTACAATTTGCCAATATATTTCGGTTGTCGAATTACAACCTTCGTCAGAGCGAATTTACATTTGCTGTAGTGCTAAGTAGCATTAACAAGATACGCGTCTATAGTTTTTTGAGTTTTTTATTAAAACGACAATGTTTTTTAAAAATAGTAAGAGTAAAAAAAGTTTTAGAATTAAATTCCACATGAAATGAGGTAATAATGTATTAAATCCACAAAAAGGTTAAAAAAATCTGCCAAAATTTAGGGAACCATCACCCTTAATCAACCCTTTGAAATGCCTCAATTGGTCTCAACTTGCTACCAATTAATACCCTCGGTACACTCATAACGTATACCAAATTTGGTTTTTCTAGCTTAATGTATTACGAAGATATTCAATGTTTTAAAAATTTAAGACCCAACTTTGAAGG